GGATCTTAAAATGGACCTTGCCTTTGGTCCTGCTTTTGTGTTAGTGAATGCAATGGGACCTGAGTAATTTGCCCAAGGTCCCCAGCAGAACCAAAATTATGATTCAGGGGTTATTGAACTCTAATGCAGTATTTCCTCTCCTTAAGCTTTCTTTTTTCTTCTGTGTTCCTCTAAACACAGTTAAATTATCCAGTCTCTTTGGAACTCTGGGCAAAGAAGGAATGTTAATCAAAGACAAACTTCAGAATGTGGCACAGGTGTTTGGAAGGTTTTAATTCATTATCAGATTTATATAAAGAAAGGCTTTACATTTAACAACTCAAATGCTTAGTTTCAATCTGGTTCTTAATTGTAGTGTCTTAAAAACACTGAAAACATGACCCTTAGCTGACCCACGACTATCCAAATTGACACCAGAAGGAGCTGTAAACTGCCTTCATTGTGATATTAATGGAATTCTCTTCTGTGATAGATACAGGGAAACAAAGTACAGGTTTAAAAAACATCTATTTTGGGAACTGCATCCTAATGGTGTCAGAATTGCATAAATGCATGCACAGTTCCAGGAATCTTCTAAAAGAGCCTCTGGGGTTTGATTTTCACATCTACTGTACTCTAGTTATGTAGTTCATCTAATCCACTAGCCATTCAGTATATATTTTATATTGCCACAATAGTTTTCACATTTATTTTTTAATGACAAAAGGCTCCAACCCTCTTCACGTCTGCACTGCAAGTGTTGGGGTAGCGAAGGGCTCGGGGGAGGCAGCTCCGCTCTCCAGCCATGGGGACTGCCAGCCTGGGACACCACGGAGGAACAGACACTGAAGCCTTCCCAAATTGTTTAGTCAGTTCTTTGGGGGGGACTAAATAAAAATGAACTATGAAAATAAAAATGGAAATTACTTAACTGCTTGCACTAGAACAAATAACTCCTGGACAATTACAGCAAAATTACCGTTCATGAAATGCATAAACACTCACCCTGAGGAACTGCTCTAACAGAAATGATTAGTTAATAAATGTGATTTGTTGTCTAATGGAATATCCGTTATAACCAGTACAAATGAAACTCCTCTAAGTTTATTTCATTGTTTAACATACTGGCCCTTTAGTCTTGTCTTGTCTTGTACTGGTCTTGTCTGTATAGGATGTTAAAATATTCATAGGAAAAATGGAGTTTGAGTGTCAAAGACTTTGAATCAACTTACTGTTAAGGGACTAGCCCTTCAGCGCCTGCGAGTCACTGCAGTTCCTTTTGTGTTGACAGAGACGTGCAGGAAGTTTGAGTCAAGGTGTCTGTTTACTGATAAGCAAAGGATGGCACATGGTAAAGGCGTTGAGATGCCTGGAGGACCACAGAGGTGCAGAGGAGTTTTTAGGTGGGGTTAGGTATCTGGCTCGTTTCTGAAAGCGGTGCAGAGCAGAGATGACTATCGACCTGGCCTGTTATAAAATGTGTAAGGATCACATTGAAATAAAATGAGAGAACTAACCTGGAAGACCTGGGTATGGGGAGGGGTGTTCAGTGTTGGTGCTGGTGTGACTCAAGACTAGAACCCCAAGGATTCAGTGGGGTGTTTCCCAGGGCAAAACAGGAGCTGAGCCTCGAAGCTCATCCCGAGCCTCTGCTGGGGCACTGCCTGCCGGCGCGGGGGCCTGGGCTGCAGGGAGAGCTGGGGAGTACGGAGCAAAGCAGGCCTGTCCTCTAAAGCACTCCTGAAATCTTGGAAGTCAAAATACTTCTTAAAATGTGCTTTTAAACAAAGTTTGGCAAGATCCTACTGCAAGGTAAACAGAAAGTTCAATATGCTTTGTTTAACTTGCTTAATGTATTTTAAGTCTCTCAGTCCTGACATTTCTTTGTAGCGTAAAGCTCTCCAGATCAGATTATGTCTTCTCTATTGTAAAACTCTAGTAGTGAAAACAGACGTTGCTTTCAATCTCATCTGTTTACAATTTTGCTTGATTACTATTCCAATAGATTTCAAGCTGTGGATTTAAACATTTAATGTTCATATGGCTAGAATTTGTTCCTTTTCTAACAATAACTTTTGGTTACATTACTCAGTCCTGCTCATGTTAGCCGGCACTTTACTTTTATCCAGACACATAATTTTGTCTTCTTAAATCACCTTGACCCGAACTGTCATGATTGTCCTCAGCAGTCTTTCACACCAGAGTTATTTTTGCCTTGCTGTTCTGAAAACCAACTCCTAAATCAGCATCTCGAGACTGTGTGAGACTCCAGATGCTGCCAATGGGAACATCTTTCAGGTGTCAGCACTAGGTATCCAGAAGTATTCGGGGTGGATCTGGTAACAATCCCGGAATTGTAGCAACCATTTCTTTTGGTGATTATAAAAATAATATAGTGCATTGGAACACTTGCATTCTTTTCTTGTAGCAAGAGAATTTCTTACAAAGGTCTCTTGGTTGGCTGTGTGTTGTGAGAAAGGCTTACATGTCCAAGTTGGGGATTTTAAAACATCAAAAGCATTCATTCAGTCTCTGCTGGCACATCATGCCAGCAGTTCCATGTTTTATTATGCAGAAAACCCAATTCAGTTCTGCTGTATTTAATAAATAGTTGGAGGATGTAGTAAATACCATTTAACACATTTTTAAGGCAGATGAGAAATGATTTAAGTCATCACAGTTTAGCCAAGAGAAAATTACTTCTGTCTGTATGACAAAATAACCCTAAAAGTGCATCACCATCTCCCACTCAGGTATCTGTGAGGCTTCAGTGTAAGGGTGAGGATAATTAAATGAATAAATCAAGGGTCTACTTTCATTTGTGTAGATTTCTTTATAAAAATGAAACATCTTTCCTGGTGACCTCAACTAAAGTCAGCTTCTTTTCCTCCTTCGTGCCCTGTTTTGTCATCCCTACATGGAGAGCCCAGGAGCAAAAGCTGGCGATGGAGACCATGGTCCTGGTGGCACTGCCCATCCTGCTGGTCCCACCAGCCCCCTGCTCCCTGTCCTGTCTCTGGGGACACGGGGAACACAACACGCCTTTCCCCTCTGTCACAGCCCGTCACGTTTGGTGGCTGTGTTCCCAGCTCCTCTCTTCCTTCTCCTTTCTAGGCTAAAGAACCTGAAATTCTGCCAAAGCTTCCTTCTACATTGTTTTCTAGACATGACCATTTATTGCTCTTATTGCTATTAACAACCAAAAACTGGACTTTTATTAATGGCAACTCGAATGAGAGCCACATAACTCTGACAGAATTAGAGCAGTTGTTACGATAACAACCTATAGCCCACTACTCAAGGGCTAAATCTACCTGCCTGCCAGAAAATGAGCCCAATTTGATATATTTTTTTTTTCTGTGAACATTTAAAATAGAGTGAAAGCTCATGGGACTGGGGAAGGTATGAACCCATCTTTGAATGCAACATTTAAATTGTGCTAACGTTGGGGGGAGACAGTAGAAATCCAAACCCAGACTGAGCAGTTCATCTAGAAGCTGAGTTGTGTCAGTGCAGGAGGCACTGATGGCCTCGGGAGCACCGCGATGGGTTTGCAATTCCAAAGAAAAAAGTATATAATGGCTGAAGCTGAAGGCAATGAATGTTGTTCACAAAAAGAACTCACAGTCCAAATGAGCATTGCCTCCTCGTTTGTCCCAGGATACTCATTAGTCCAGATGAGGGTTACATTTATAGCAAAAGGGACACAAAACTGAAATGTAACTTTTTATGCATAATTATTATAAAACTATTTTTTATTATGCTTTCATACTCAGTTCTCAAACTGTAGAATAACGATCAGTCTCTTGAAGAAGGCAAGTTTCTGTATGACCTGGGCACGTGCATTCAGGGGGAAAAATAAAAATTCCAGTTGGTGGCTATAAAGGAACATTAAACATTCTTCATAACAAAGCTGGATTATTTTTCAGAAACCCCAAAACTATACAGTGTCTTCTAAAAATTATGGGAAAATAGTATGTGAAATGTTTTTATACAATAAATAATCTATTTTCTGTAAATGTACAAAATCATTTGTACAGCAAGTAAGAAACTAATACAAATGCAGTAACTGAAAGATATATTTAATTTTATAACTATAATAATTTATTTATGAAATATATCCACATATATATAAAATATATCATATATATTTTGGCAAAGACCTCCCTTTCTTGTTTCAAAGTTTACTACTGCTGTTTTAAGCCTATATAACCATTTTTACTGTTAATTTCTTTTCATTTTTCTTTTGGTCTCTATCTGTCTTTTCATAAAATATAATTTAATGTCATCGGGTTACAGTTTAACATATATACCCTGGGGAAAGTCTGCATGAAGGTCAGTCAAACCAAAAACATACCTGTAGTGTCACAAGTAAGGGATTTCCTCTCTTTCTTTTTAAATAACATAGAACAGGATTTGCAAAAGTTACTCTTTTTTTCCCTTGCTTACTCTTGCATCCTCCTATCAAAAAAAAGTCCATAATTTCTGAAGAAATCATTTACACTGAAAAATGTCCAGGGTTGGTTATAATCCTTATTGCCAAGTTTCTGAGTTATCCAGTTACGATTGTTTCAATGAAGAGATAAAAATGTGAAGTGTAGCACGCGCGAAGCCGGCTGGAGGTGCTGTGGCTGATGCCGTGCACGGGGGCTCAGAGCAGGGAACGCGCTGGAGCAGAACCTGACTCTGGTGGGATGAAGGTCTGTGTGAAGTCCCGCAGTCCTGCCCTCTCATCTCTGGGAGATTCTGTGGGATGAACCATTGGAGTTCCACTCATCAACTACAGCACGTCCTCCAATAATCACTGTGAATGTTTCTGAAGGGAACTTTGAAGTGCAGGAATAATTTGTGCCTAAATTAAGTAATCTATTGAATACTCGATGTATACTCTTAACTTGCTATAGTTTATAATAATATTTATATTAGCCATTCATATTTAGTCTGCATAGATACTGTCATTTAAATATCTGCCATGAAGTTACAATATGGTGATTCAGGCTTGCATACATTAACAAGAGAAG